CTTATGTTTGGCCCTATGATAAAAAGTAAAATGAGTGTGTCACTTGAGTTTGTTTCTGTTGTTGAAGTAAAGCAATGGCCTAATAGCGTACTGCTTAATAAAGGAAAAGCCACCTGGAATTAAATATTAGGTGTAGATAATCTTTTTTTTTTTGAGGCCTAGTCTTGCTCTGTGGCCCAGGCTGGAGCACGGTGCCTAACTGCAATTTCCACCTCCCAGGTTCAAGCGATTTCTCCTACCTCAGCCACCCTGGGATTACGGATGCATGCCATGACACCCAGCTAATTTTTGTGATTTTGTTTTTTTGTTTGTTTTTTAGTGGAGATGGGGTTTTACTGTGTTGGCCAGGTTGGTCTCAAACTCCTGACCTCAAGTGATCTGCTGGCCTCGGCCTCCCAAAGTGCTGGGATTACAGGTGTGAGCCACTGTGCCTGGCCCTTAATAATCCATTTTTATTTGAATAATGGGAGCTGGACAGTGCCATGCCTATAGCCCAGCTACTTGGGAGGCTGAGGCAATAGGATTGCTTGAGTCCAGGAGTTGTGAGCTGTAGTGCACTATGCTGATTGGGTATCCACACTAAGTTTGGCATAAATATGGTGACCTCCTGGGAGTAGGGAACCACCAGGTTGCTTAAAGAGGGGTAAGCTACCCCAGATCAGAAGCAAAGCAAGTCAGAACCCCCATACTGATCAGTAGCAGGATTGCACCTGTGAAAAGCCTCTGCATTCCTGCCTGCGAAACATAATGAATCCCGGTCTCTTAAAAAAACAAAAATGAGAAAGGCTCCTTTTACATTTTTGAATAGTGTGCTTAAACTGTCATCGCCTCCTTTGTAGCATTAGACTGTTCTAAGATGTTAGACTGTGTGGTAGTTCTTGAAAATTTACATGTCAAAGGGGTTCACATCTGATATGTGGGAAAGGTATAAAAGTTCCAGATGTCTTTCTAGACTTCATGGTTGTTCTGCCTTATCTGTAGAACTCATTTCTTCTTTAGATGGCGCTTAGAAATAGTTTCCACTCAAGTTTCAAAAGGGGAGATAGATAACCCCCAAAAGGTTAAAAACCTCTGGTCAGAAGAGATCTTCTGGATCACTTCAGTTTGTGATCACTACTATCCAAGGAACAAAGTTGTCACTTCAGTTGTGGCAATTTGCTCAATGCCTGTAGCATGTGCTCAGTGAATATTTGATAAGGGGGTACATTAAGAATCATTCTTAACTCTCACACTGATGGTCTTTGATTTGGTAATGTATATATCTGATTAGCTTATGCAGAGTCCCCGCAGTAACTTATTAGCATCCCTATTCTGTCCGTTGGTTTTAATAACCACAGTGTCTTTGTAGTGCAATTCATAAGTTTGTTTTGTTTGGCCTGTGTGTGTTTGGAAGGCAATTCTGCCTACTGTCACGTTTTCTGAGGTTTACATAGGCAAAAGCTTTGTCTTGAGAGGCAGTCTTTTGGGTTTCTTTTCTCTCTTGCCTACTCTGGAGCCAGATCCTGAGTTTGTGACAGAATCCTCTGTTTGTGACATCCCAGCCCCCCCACTGTAGCTCATGGTGATGTCACAAATGAAGAATTATGATCCTGGCAGGGGAAACAGATGAACTTGGAAGAAACAAAAGATCTTCTTTGCCTGCAGCTGTCCCTAGTCATGGGGAGGTGGGGGGTGGGAAGTGAAGCGCTGATGATCCCCACGATTAGCAGAACCAGCTCTGCACAAAACAGGGTCCTTGTGAAGGCAACAGGGTGTGGCTACTGACATTTTGACCGACTTCTTCCTGCCCCCCTCATTACTTTTCCATCCGAGGAGGGCAGGACAGTTAGCACACAATTATACCTACATAATGCTTAAGTTTACAAATTGTCCTTAGAACTTTCAGGACATGCCGGGTGCAGGCCCGTGATACCAACTCTTTGGGAGGCCAAGGTGGGAGGATCACCTGAGGTTAGGAGTTTGAGACCAGTCTGACCAACATGGAGAAACCCCGCCTCTACTAAAAATGCAAAAAATTAGCCGGGCATGGTGGCACGTGCCTGTAATCCTAGCTACTCGGGAGGTGGAGGCAGGAGAGTCGCTTGAACCCGGGAGGCGGAGGTTTTGGTGAGCTGAGATCACACCATTGCACTCTAGCCTGGGCAACAAGAGTGAAACTCCATTGAAAAACAAAAGAGGCCAGGTGCAGTAGCTCATGCCTGTAATCCCAGCACTTTGTGAAGCCAAGGTGGGCAGATCACCTGAGGTTGGGAGTTTCAAGACCAGCCCGACCAACATGGAGAAACCCCGTGTCTACTAGAAATACAAAGTTAGCTGGGTGTGGTGGCAAATGCTTGTAATCCCAGCTACTTGGAAGGCTGAGGCAGGTGAATTGCTTTAGGTGCTATTCATGGTTCAAAAACTAGAAAGTATGGCCAGGTTCGGTGGCTCGTGCTTATAATCCCAGCACTTTGGGAGACCAAGGCAGTAGGATTGCTTGAGGCCAGGAGTTCAAGACCAGCCTGGGCAACATAGCGAGACCCTGTCTCTATAGATAATTTTAAAAGTTAGCTGAGTATGGTGATGTGTGCCTGCAGGCCCAACTACCCGTGAGTCTGAGGCAGGAGAATCACTGGAGCCTGGGAAGTCAAGGCTGCAGTGAGCCATGATTGGGCCACTGTACTCCAGCCTGGGCAGCAGAGCAAGACCTCATCTCAAAAACAAAAACAAGCAAAAGCTAGAAAGTATGAAAAATACTCAGTGATGAGTATGCCCTCAAACTTATCCTCTCTCTACTCAGTCCTCACCCCACTAAGCTAACCACTGTTCTTATGTCTTATATTTTCTTCTTTAGTTTTGTTGTACATATATAAAATGAAGATCCTTGATTTTCTTCATTTACCATGAAAAGTAGTATGCTTTATGCAGTTCTGCACCTTTTAAAAAAAATAACTGAATAGGCCAGGCACAGTGGCTTATGCCTGTAATCCCAGCACTTTGGGAGGCCAAGGCAGGTGGATCACAAGGTCAAGAGATTGTGACCCTCCTGGCCAACATCGTGAAACCCCATCTCTACTGAAAATACAAAAATTAGCTGGGTGTGGTGGTGTGCACCTGTAGTCCCAGCTACTGAGGAGGCTGAGGCAGGAGAATTGCTCGAACCTGGGAGGTGCAGGTTGCAGTGAACCAAGATCGCACCACTGTACTCCAGGCTGGCAACAGAGCGAAACTCCACCTAAAAAAATAACTGAGTAGATCTTGGATGTCTTTCCATATTAGTACATGAAGAGCTTCTTCATTCTATTTTGGAATTACATAGTATTCCATTATGTGGATGTCTACATTATCTAACCAGTCTCCTGTTGATGGAATTTGAATTTTTCTACTTGTAAGTGTTCAGACTTTATCTCTTCCTGATCCCCATGGCCAGGTTCCTAGAGGGAATGGGTGTGCCTTAACTCCAGATTTCTCCTTTGGTTCATTTATTCTTGGAGTGAATGTGATTCAGCAAGACTCTCCCAGGAATAAACAGTAGCTAAACCAAAAATGAAAGCTCAGAGGACAAACTAGTAAAAAGAGAAAAACAGAATATATGGAGATGCTTTATGAGGCCGAAAGAACAGATTAATCCCCACCTGGTTGTGTGTGTGAGAGTGCCTTGGCTTATGGTTTGTATAGTGGTATGATGGGAATAGTAATCTGATGTAGCCTATTTAAAGCCATTTAAAATGAAATCTTTTATTGGTATATTTCTCTACTAAAAACAATAGGTGGAAGAGGGGCCACCACAGTATTCAGTGTGATGTGAGGCTTACATAGTGAACAATGAATCTGCACCAGGTTATTTTTGCTATTTCTTGTCTTGCTTATTAACAGGCTAAGCGTGACGAATTGTGCAAAGTAGCAAATAACAAGTGTTCCTGAGAAGAATGTGAGTTTTGATGACAGTCACTATGGATATGATTCACTGTGGAGGCAGTTGAGCATGGTCATGAGGTTATAGGCTCTGGAATCTTAGTGTCTAAGATCATATCCTGTTTCTATCACTAGCTTTAACAACGTGGAACCTTAGTTCCTTAGTTTTCTCATCAGTAAAATAAAAGTGATAATATTGCCTATTTCTTAAAATTTTTGTGAGGATTAAATGGGTTCATATATGAAAGTATTCAGTAAATGTTCACTGTCCTCATTATTGTCAGGAATCATTGCTCTCCTCATTTCAGTGCTTTTATCTCATGAATTGGTTATGTGTAGTACTTAACAGTAGACCCAGAGACTTCTTTGAGCTTTGAGTCTGTTACCTGTGACTAAACTAAAGTGAATATGTTTCTGGAGTCCAGGGTGAAGAGCTTTATTGTTTTCTTCTTCCCCACAGGTTGTTTTCTGCATGGACCGTGCCCTAGAATTTGCCCCTGCCTGCCATCGCTTCAAAATCCTCAAGGCAGAATGTTTAGCAATGCTGGGTCGTTATCCAGAAGCACAGTCTGTGGCTAGGTATGCAGTCAGGCCAGTTGGGCATTAAAAAGCCAGATACCGGCTGGGCGTGGTGGCTCACGCCTGTAATCCCAGCACTTTGGGAGGCCGAGGCAGGCGGATCACCTGAGGTCAGGAGTTTGAGACAAGCCTGACCAACATTAAGAAACCCTGTCTCTACTAAAAATACAAAATTAGCCAGGCACGGTGGTGCAGGCCTGTAATCCCAGCTACTCAGCAGGCTGAGGCAGGAGAATCACTGGAACCCGAGAGGCAGAAGTTGAGATGAACTGAGATCACGCCATTGCACTCCAGCCTGGACAACAAGAGCAAAACTTTGTCTCAAAAATAAATAAATAAATAAATAAATGTCTACTTGAGAGGCTGAGGCAGGAGAATTGCTTGAACCCGGGAGGTGGAGGTTCCAGTGAGCCAAGGTCATCCCATTGCACTCCAGCCTGGGCAACAAGAGCTGTCTCAGGAAAAATAAATAAAAAAAATGCCAGACACCTTTGAACTGATGCTGTCAGGCAGCTTCACCATAGGATATGGTCCCCAGAGTAGGCCAGCTAGGGCTAATCAGGCCTTGGGACTTAAAGTCAAATATTAGGCCAGCTTTGAAAACCCACAGAGCATATATACAGGAGTATAGTAGTATAACAGGTACTTGAGCTATATACGAAACTCACATCACAGATTGTGTTATGTGAGTTTTTTGTGGTTTTGTTTGTTTGTTTAAGGTGGTCCTTTTCCTTCTACTCCACTGGTTGGCAAACTTTCTGCAAAGGGCCACATTTTAGCCTTTGCAGAACACAGGATCTCTTTTGCAACTAACTTAGCTCTACCATGGCCATGCAAAGGCTGCCTGCCCTAGATCATAGATGAACCAATCAGTGTGGCTGTTTCAAAAGAGTTTTATTTACAAAAACCAGTTGCAGAAAGGGTTTGGCCCTGTGGGCTATAGTTTGCCAAACCCTGTCCAGTCTAAGAAGGATTGTAAGACACAGATGTGTATTAAAGATAATTATAGTTGTTTTATTTGGGGGAGGTTTGGGAACAGTTCTTGGGAATCTGTCTACTTTTGGATACTTTGAACACTAGACACATGGTCAAGGAAAAAAAAAACTGGCCACAGTAGATAGTAATGGTGGAGACATTCTAAAGCACAGCTCATTGTGCCCTTTTCTGACTATTGCAGTGACATTCTACGAATGGATTCCACCAATGCAGATGCTCTGTATGTACGAGGTCTTTGCCTTTATTACGAAGACTGTATTGAGAAGGCAGTTCAGTTTTTTGTACAGGCTCTCAGGATGGCCCCTGACCATGAGAAGGCCTGCATTGCCTGCAGAGTAAGTTCTAGTCACCAGACCTGACTGGGAAAGAAAGCTTCCCTTTGAGACCTTTAAGATGGTTACAGTGGAAGGTTTTAGAATCATAGGGAATGTGATAGCTTTTCCTCCTCCTTTGCAAGAATGCTTGGTCTTCATTAGAAATGGTTTCCAGACTGCTTTTACTTACCTAAAGGTAAATGTGATCATATAGGGTCGGATGTCTTTAATATCTGAGTTTGTTTTTCGTTTTTGTTTTTGTTTTTTTTTTCCCCCTTTTTCCCCATCAGTGAAGATAGATAGTAATACTTGCCCTGGGAAGTAGAGGCAGACCCAGTAACATAGGTCTCATTGGTATTTTTCGTAACTCTTAGTTTCTCCTGTCCACTCTGTAGGAAGCACAAATGAGCAACAGATAGCCCAGGTTGGGGGTTGGCCGGGCCCTGTGATGCTAAACTACTGGAAGCAGTGAACTTTAAAATAGACTCTGGCCTCTCTGTGCAGTGGTCTGAGGCTTTGTGGATATGCACTGATCCTCCCCTTGCATTTTTCTGTAGAATGCCAAAGCACTTAAAGCAAAGAAAGAAGATGGAAATAAAGCATTTAAGGAAGGAAATTACAAACTAGCATATGAACTGTACACAGAAGCCCTGGGGATAGACCCCAACAATATAAAAACAAATGCTAAACTCTACTGTAATCGGGGTACGGTTAATTCCAAGGTAAGCACTTGATCTGGATCTTGGGGCCTATAAAGAGATATTTTTAAGGGACATCAAAGGGTCTTGGGAAATCTGCCCAATGAGGGTAAGCAAGATGAAAGAGGATAAGTTATTATGGTTAATAGCTTGTTAGGAACTCCCTTCCAAGAGGCAAGCTTTTATCATCTCTGTGGAATTTGAGGGCAGTTGGACAATTTGCAAGGATATTCTCACCTGTTCTTTAAGGTCCCTTTCCTCCAGTAAGAGAATGGCTAAGGGCTGTAGGATAATTTTAAGCAGCCACTGTTGCTTTTGCTTTTTTTTTTTTTTTACCCCTTACGCAAGTGATCATTTATTTTTTAGGAGTGATTTGGAGGAAGAGTAGAGGCAAGCTTGTTTTTCTCCAGTGTAACTGATGGTCATCATGCATGACTGACAATGGCCTGAGTGCTTTTGTGGACCCCTTTTTGTTGGGGTCCATAGTCCTAGTGACAAAGAACTAGAACTTAATATGACATTTAGGGGGCCAGCATGACTGATCCTCTTAGAGTTTTGAAGCCATGCTCACAGCTTCTGGGCTCCCTCAGTCACCAAGAAGTGAAGTATGATTGCTCTCTCTCTCCTGAAGCTTAGGAAACTAGATGATGCAATAGAAGACTGCACAAATGCAGTGAAGCTTGATGACACTTACATAAAAGCCTACTTGAGAAGAGCTCAGTGGTAAGTGTCTCTGGTGGGTGGGGGGAAGAGGGAGTTGCCGCTGACCTCAGGGGAATTGCCTTGTGGATGACAAAGCAGACCCAGAGATGTTGTGAGGTCATTTGGTCCTTCCCCCTACCTCTAGGTGGGATTGTTCCAGCCCTAGACTATCTTTATAGACCTCCAGCGGAGGAGATTGCACAAGCTCCCTCAGTCTCCCATGCCTGTGTCTAACGCCCCTCACGGTCAGTAAGTTTCCTCTGATGCCTGACCCAAATTCCTTTTGTTAAAGTTTAAATCCATTTCCTTTGGAGATTTTATTTTGTGTTGTACACTTATGCTCTAACTCGGCACAGTGCTTGACACATAGGTGCTCAAGGAATAAATGTTTTGTTGACTGCATGTATGGTGTTTGGAAGAGAAAATATCTCTTAGAGATGGTTGAGAGTTGTACTTCATCCTATTTCTTCTGGGTGAGGGAAGACAATCTTACAGTTGGAAGAGATGTAATCTGGCTCAGCTTCCCAGGATAAAGGAACCTCCTTTGAAATACCCTGGATGACTACTGTCTGCTTGAGTGTTTTCAGTAGAGGGCACTCTCTATGTCTGACGAGATGAGCCAGGATGTGCCTGCTTCTCATGCTCAGATTTGCCCCAGAGTCAGAGTGTTCCCTGGCATAGTTGCTCCTCTTACTCTGAGACCCGACATGTGATTTTCTCCAGAAAGGAACAGAGCTAGGAGAAACCTCTCTCGGAAATCCATCTCTTCTGATTTCAGATTATTCTGTAGGCAGAGAAGAACTTTCCCTCTTTAAAGCTCTTAAAGAAGACATATTTGTTGTATATGAATCCTCCAGTACCTGCTCCACTCCTTATTTTCAAATGTCATATCCAAAGAACAGGTGCTGTCGCTGATGCCTGATGAGCCAGTATTTTAAGCTTCCTTGTCTCATCAGTGGTACAGAATATCTCATGGACTACCTCCCGCTTAGTTTTCTCAAAATTATCTAATTTAAAGCAGGAAAACTGCTCCTGTGTGTGATGCTTTTTTTAAAAGTGAATTTCTAAGTTGATGACTGAGTCTGTCCAACAGAAACATACATGGAATTTTATTATAGCTTCTGTGAGACCAACTGTCAGTCCACGCCCAGCCTGTCAGTCATTCAGTCTTTGCAAGCCACTGTCACACAGAAGCAGAAGCCTTGGAATACAAAAGACCACCCTGTGACTCAGCCAAAGACTGACTTTAACAGACGCAAAATGCTATATACATGAAGATGTTTGCTGCAGTTTTATCTGTAACAGCAAAAACCTGGAGGGCGGAGAATCACCTCCATGTCCAGTGGGAAGGGAATGGCTAGACACTTGATACTGTATCAGTTTAATGGAATATTCTATATATGGAATGCCAGGGGATGGGAAGAGAACAGAAAAATAGTTTTGTTTTTTGGGATTGAGTCTCGCAATGTTGCCCAGGCTGGAGTGCAGTGGTGCCATCTTGGCTGACTGCAACCTCCACCTCTTGGGTTCAAGCGATTTTCCTGCTTCAGCTTCCCAAGTAGCTGGGATTACAGGCACGTGCCACCACACCCAACTAATTTTTGTATTTTTAGTGGAGACGGGGTTTCATCTTGTTGGCCAGGCTGGTCTCAAACTCCTGACTGCAAGTGCTCTGCCTGTCTTGGCCTCTCAAAGTGCTGGCATTACAGGCAGGCATGAGCCACCACACTAGGCTTTTTTTTTTTTTTTTTTTTTTTTTAAAGCAACCTCCAGCTAACATCATAGAAAATTCTTGATTTGCTCGGAGGCTAATTGGATGGAGGATTATTTTCTTCTTCGTTTATGTACAAGAAACAAAAATAAGGAATTGCTTTGATCAGACAACTTATCTTTGTGGTAGAAAGAAACAGAACTGCCCTTCTTGGAGTGGCTGTGCCTCTGAGATCACTACAGGGGAGACAGCATGCCTTGTTCAGCTGGCTGAGTATTTGGCAGCAATCTCCTGAAGCAGCTGGAATTGACAAGAAGTACTGAAGATTAGCTCAGGCCAAACCCTTACCAGAGGCCTGACCACTGCTGCAGTCTGCCTCAGTGTACCCCTAAAGTTGGGGAGATGCCACTCCCCCCCAGCATCTTTGCTACACATGCCATCATGAGCTAGAGTTCACCCTTTCTCCCTAAAGCCTTATTTACTTTCCTACTTCAGCTTTAAAATGAAATTAAAATATGAGGATATCCCTGAATTTTTAAAAATGCAGATTAGTATAGCTTGTTTAATACATTACATATGGACCTAAAGAAAGTTCATCAGGGTTAATCATTTGTCACATCATTTTACACCCAGGGCTATCAGCTATCAATTTTCCTTTTTTCTTTTTTTTAATTCAGGATTCAGCTCTATCACTCAGGCTAGGGTGCAGTATCAAAGTATCAATTTTCTCCTCAAATTATATTACATTTTGTTCTGTAAATTGATTCTGAACTCCTATAACTTTTATGTCCTGTGCTCGCAGAGCATTGGTTTTTTTTTTAAAAGTCGTAAATCATCATGTTGCCAGAAAATCACAGATGCCAAAGATGTTGGGCTTCTCTTCTGCCAGCCATATTTTTTGTGCGTTTGATGTTTGTGATTTCACAAACATCACAGATGCCCACCAGCTTGGAGGCCAGGGCAGGAGAGTGGTACCACAGCACTCTCCTGCCCTGGCCTCTGTTTTCATCTTATTTTGTGAAAATGGGCTTGTGGCGTAGCAGTGTGAGAACTGAATCTCTGTTGTGCAGCACTTCCCATTCCGCAGCTGACAGTGGCTATCTCTGGAACTCCCATCACGGTCTTTAATTGGTAGGCCAGCCTTGCTGCCACTTGCTTCTGTGGAAGAGACACTTAAAAGATCTGGCAATCAGCCTGTCAAGCTCGATTCCTCCCATCTTGGGCCAGGGGCCCCTCCTTTCCTTTGTGCTACCAACATAGAAAACCTGTGTTTAGAGTTTCCTTTTCTGTCTCATTTACCTGCATCTCTCATTGATTGGTCTTAGTGGCAGGATTTGCCAGCAGCCGCCACGTTGAACTTGATCCTTTTAGTGGCTCACTAATCCCACTTCTACTCTGGATTGTAGCTAGCCCTGCATGTTTATGGCACTGTAGGTTTCAAAGCTCTTTCATATCCATTTATTCACCTGATAATTTTGTGTGTTTCACCCCCAAGTAACCAAGTAGGTCCCTTCACATTGCCCATTTTTTTTTTTTTAGACGGAGATTTTGCTCTTGTTGCCCCAGCTGGAGTGCAGTGGTACAATCTTGGCTTACCACAACTTCCACCTCCTGGGTTCAAGCGATTCTCCTGCCTCAGGCTCCTGAGTAGCTGGGATTACAGGCATGTGCCGCCACACCTGGCTAATTTTGTATTTTTAGTAGAGATGGGGTTTCTCCATGTTGGTGAGGCTGGTCTTAAACTCCTGAGCCTAGGTGATCCATCCACTTCAGCCTCCCAAAGTCCTGGAATTACAGGGGTGAGCCACTGCGCCCAGCCCACATTGCCTTTTCTAAGGCAGTCCAGTACCTCTTAGGTGGCTCTGTATCAGAAGGAACTTTTTTTTCTTGATTACTTTCCGTTCAGAGCTGAACATCACTTTAATGTTTGGGTGCAAGTGCCATGCGACCTCTTTTTACTTCATTGAGGAATTGATAGCTAATTTTCTCTCACTGCTAGATTAAGGGCTCCTGTTTCAGAAGCATCTTACCAAAAGGGTGTGTCTCTTGCTTGAGCCATGCCTCTTGCCCTAGAGTGATACTGAGAACCATTGCTATTCATGTCTGAGTGCTGTATTGCCTTATATTTCCTTCTCAGTTACATGGACACAGAACAGTATGAAGAAGCAGTACGAGACTATGAAAAAGTATATCAGACGGAGAAAACAAAAGGTAAGTTTGAAAGCATTTGCTTTTCAGGGAGTGGTGTGGACTTTCTTTGTACAGAAAGTCCTAAATCTGTACACAAGGTAGTTTGATTCAGGGATCAGGGATGTACCTAGAACGTATTTGATCACCAGCCAGAAAGAAGTGAACAAAGGCCAGGCATGGTTAACAAGGCTTCTAACTCACAGCTAGCTGGGCTGAGACCTGGTAAGGAGAAAACCAGAGTCAGATTTGTCCACTGATGCCAGATGTCTTCCTCTAGAACATAAACAGCTCCTAAAAAATGCGCAGCTGGAACTGAAGAAGAGTAAGAGGAAAGATTACTACAAGATTCTGGGAGTGGACAAGAATGCCTCTGAGGACGAGATCAAGAAAGCTTATCGGAAACGGGCCTTGATGCACCATCCAGGTAGAGTAGGTGGGAGGAGGGGCTCAGTGGGAAGAACCCGCAGGGCAGGCCAACTGCCAGACTCAGTCCAGAGGGGATGCCTTGGAGAGCTTTTTTTTTTTTTTTAAAACCCCTGACCTTTCCATGATGGAAGAGAGAGGTTCTTCAGCTAAGAATAAGGTGTTGCAGACTTGTGGACCTTCCAAAATTGGGGAAATGCCAAATTCCAAAATCAGACATAAAATGGTTTTTCTCTTAAACTTTGTTTTCTTGAATCTCTGACTTCCTCTGAGTTGTTCTTTTACTCCCAACTTTAGATCGGCATAGTGGAGCCAGTGCTGAGGTTCAGAAGGAGGAAGAGAAGAAGTTCAAGGAAGTTGGAGAAGCCTTTACCATCCTCTCTGATCCCAAGAAAAAAACTCGCTATGACAGTGGACAGGACCTGGATGAGGAGGGCATGAATATGGGTGGTGAGTTGGCTGGGGCAACCTGGGGTGAATTTGACAGCTGTGGAATGTTAGAATGTTTTCCAAAGATGCTCCAGAGGAAGAGTCTGTTTGGGCCAAATCTGATCCCTGGTGCAAACAATAACAGACATGGAGTCAAATTAATGCAGTCAAGTGTGGCAGGTTCACAGTGTGCAGTGAGCTCTGAGGTGGCGAGCACTAGCAAGGGAAGGCCTGGAAGTGCAGAAAGCATGGCCCCGTGGCTCACACCTGTAACCCCAGCACTTTGGAAGGCTGAGACAGGTGGATCACCTGAGGTCAGGAGTTTGAGACCAGCCTGGCCAACATGGTGAAACCCTGTCTCTCCTAAAATACAAAAATTAGCTAGGCGTGATGGCAGGTGCCTGTAATCCCAGCTACTTGGGAAGCTGAGGCAGGAGAATCGCTTGAACCCAGGAGTTAGAGGTTGCAGTGAGCCGAGATCGTGCCACTGTACTCCAGCCTGGAGACTTCACCTCAAAAAAAAAGAAAGAAAAATAGAAAAATTAGCTGGGTGTGTGGCGCACGCCTACAATCCCAGCTACTTGAACCCAGGAGGTGGAGGTTGCAGTGAGAGCACCACTGCACTCCAGCCTGGACAACAGAGCAAGATTCCGTCTCAAAAAAAAAAAAAAAAATGCGAACCAAAGCATGGCCCCTTTGAGGATCTGCAGGGGGCTCTGTCTAGGAAGATAAAGGATAAGGTGCTAGAGGCAGGTGGTGGTAGAAGGCGGCAGGTAGCTGGATCAGAGCTCACAGGCCATGGGGGCTGTATGTGATAAGGAATATGGGCATTTTCCTATTATCTGGAAGTTCTTTTTTACCCACTGCAAACTGTATGCTGATATTTATGTCCGTCATATATTCCTGTAAACACTTAACAGATTTTAATTTCCCCAAAAACACTTGGCCTGATATAAAGCACCGCTGTTGTCAGTATTGTTGCTCACTTTGGACTCTCAAGAGATAAGAGGCCCTGAGCTGTGAACAGTTCGCAGACCACCATCTCTAATGCTAACCCTTCAACTTCCACTAAGAAAATCTATTGGAATTTTTTTTTTTTTCAAACTGAGTCTTGCTCTTTGGCCAGTCTGGGTGCAGTGGCTCACTGTAACCTCCACCTCCTGGGTTCAAGCAGTTCTTCTGCCTCAGCCTCCCGAGTAGCTGGGATTACAGGCACCCACCACACCTGTCTAATTTTTGTATTTTTTAGTAGAGATGGGATTTCACCGTGTTGGCCAGGCTGGTCTCAAACTCCTGACCTCAGGTGATCCACCCGCTTTAGCCTCCCAAAGTGCTGGGATGACAGGTGTGAGCCACTGTGCCCAGCTGGAATTTAAAATAAGAATGATGGTACTATATAGATAATGCTGAGCCAGTAGACCTAGGTTCACCATAATAAACATGTTCCTCTGCCCAGCAGTTAAGAAGAGCTGTAAGCAGTTTTAAGCAGTGAAGAGTTTTAAGTAGGGGCACTGTGGACCAGATTTTGGCTCTGGAAATATATTTATGATAGAGGTGAGGAGGGGGTTTGGAGGGAGTAAGGAGGATGAAGATGGAAGGAAGACACCAAAGGTAGGAAAGGGTTGGAGGACAGCCAGGCGATAGTGGGAGATTCAGCAGGAGTTGGCTGCGGCTTAGATACGCTGGGGAGAGTGACTTAGGCATAGCTGACTCGGGGTCATTCACTAAGCAGGGGAGCCCAGGAGGATACACAGATGCCAGCAGAAAAACTCTGGACACGGGGTGGCTGTGGGATCACCTGGTAGAGATCAGTCCTTCTGTGCAGCTCGGGCAGTCAGCCGGGGATGGGGCCACCGACGTGCTGTGGCCTCGCAGAGAGCACACAGAGCGAGTCAGGCAAGAGTTGGATTTTCCAGGTCTGCTGCTTTCTGCGTGTGATCTTGGGCAAGTTACTTAAACCACCTACATATGTTTTGTTGAGTAGAATTGGGAATGATACTTACCCTGACAAATTGTTACTAGGATTAAGTAGTATAATGTATGCAAAGTACCCAGCACTTTGACTAGCACCTAGTAGGTGTTTTTGCTGGTTGTTTGTTGTTGTTATTGAGATAGGATCTCACTCTGTTGCCCAGGCTGGGGTGCAGTGATGTGATCATAGCTTACTGCAGCCTTAAACTCCTGGGTTCAAGCGATCCTCTCACCTCAGACTCCCAAAGTGCCAGGATTATAGGTGTGAGTCACCACGCCCAGCTAATAAACCATAGCTTTTTTTTTTTTTTTTTTTTAGCAGAGTCTAGAGTGTAAAAGACATGGACTCAAATACAGTAAATCCTAGATCTTGTTCTTTATTTTTAGTAACATTTTAAGTGATACATTTTATCCTTTTTAGTAGCCACTCCAGCATTATAGGGAGAGTATGGGGAGACTCTTGTGTAGGTGCAAATGGCATTCCCATTTGTTGAGAAAACAGCCCAGCCAAGCAAGCTGAAGCAGAGAAAGCTTTTCTTTGGGGCAGCACTTGGAAGGGGAAGGGAACATGTCCTGGGAGTGGGATCACATAGCATGTTTTGCGCAGGATGGGGCAGGTTTGCTCACATGCAGTCTGAAGTGTTGGGAAAGGAGGGGAGTGAGACTATCTGGGACAGCTTTAGAGACCTGTTCTCAGTGTCATCAGTTCTCTTCAGACCTTTCTAATCTTTTCACCTTTTCTTCCCTTCCATGTTACTTGCCCTGCTGTACAGATTTTGATGCAAACAATATCTTCAAGGCATTCTTCGGCGGTCCTGGAGGCTTTAGCTTTGAAGGTAGGTAGGCCTGCTGTTTTTGGGAGTTCCAAGATCACAAACCAGCACACTCACTGCCACTTAGGCAGCTCAGAGGGGCCCATGAATGGAGGCGGCTGAATTCTCATCTAGCAGGGCATCTATCCACTCAGCTATTGCTGAGGCTGAAGACAAGAAGGTTCCCAGGACCTTGGGACCTTTAGCCACTGCATCTCTGCAGGACCAGGGAGGCTTCTCTGCAAGAGCAAAGGTGTTGAGAAGCTACCCATGTATAATGTGGTCACAGGCTCGCTTTTGCACCCAAAAACAGCCTAGGCTGTTTGATACCCATAAAGTTTCTCTGAGTTTGAAGCAGCCCTTAGACTCTTCCATAATCAGAGCAAAGTGATCTTCCCTAGAAAATCCACAGCCAACTAACCAGCCCTTCTTTTCCCTTTCAGCATCTGGTCCAGGGAATTTCTTTTTTCAGTTTGGCTAATGAAGGGCAACCACCCAGAACCCAAAAAATGCAGATTTGCTCAGTTTAATCTTGAATGTGGAAACAGTTCACCTCCTCCCTTCATCGCGTCTCCGTGTACTTAGAGCAGTTTCGTTTTCTCAGTTGGATGCCCTGTGTCTCTGTGAGTGGGTGAAGCAAAGGGAACCAATGCTGAAGACTGCGGGCAGGGGAGGGAGGCGGGGGGTGGACAGGGAGGCAGCTTGTGAATTTTTGTTTTACTGTTTAACTTTATTAAAAAAGGAAAAAAAAGAAGAGAATAAAATGTTTTGGCCCTTTCTGGCCCTTTGCTGTGGCAGCTGCTTTGTGTCACTCCAGAGTCTGAGCCAGAGCTGAGTTCCACCTGGACTTGGGGTGCAGCAAGCTGCGGCATGAGGGTTGTGGACCCTGAGCCTGGTGGCAGGTGGTGCTGCTCTGCCCCTCCCAGACCTGTCCAGTGTGTGAGTGCTGGGCAGGCCCGGGCTATGCCCCTGGGCCCAGCTTGACATCAGCCATGGAGAAGTGAGTTGAGAAAGCATGCTCGCTTTACAGTGGGGCTCCAGAAGTCACTAGAAGCCGTGTGTATCCAAAGCTCACTCAGGAGCTCAGGTGGGTACAGACCCAGACAGGGCAGTTTAACTTACAAAGGCTTTTAGTTCCTGTTGCAGTGTGGGTTTGAGGGAGACGGTAGACAGAAATAATCCTGCCTCCTGACCCCCCAGACCCTTTTGAAGTGGGACAGGTGGCTCCAGAGCTCTGGTCTGGCCAATCAGCTATTTTTAGCAAAAGCCCCTGGCCTTCTCCACTCCCTCTCTGCATGCAGGAGACACTCTGCTCACGGATGCAGCAGCATATGCCATGCTGTCCTGTCAAGCATGGTGTTCAAGGTGAGTAGCCTTCTTGGGAGCTCTAGACACTTGAAGCTCTAGCTAAAGCTCACAGATGGCCAGGGACAGGCCTTGACCTAGAAAGATAACTTAGGATTTCTCTTCTTCTGAGCTCCTGCCCCTTTCTTTTTAGTCTTCCCCAGCTGGTGCCTTAGCCATGGTGAAATGATGCCCAAGTCAGGCCTGGGATGTTTCCCACGTGGCTGACTAGGCCTCTGGTGGCCTTGGAAGGGACTCAAATGTTAGGTCTTCCCTGGTGCCTGAAGTTGTACTGACCTTCAGGTGGCCTTCCCTAGAGAACTGGGAGGAACCCATACTAGGAGCTCCAGGTCTTTCTTACTGAGAGACCTTTCTGATCCAGGGGGCTGGGGACACCTGTGGGTCTGGTTCCCTCGTTAATGGGGTATGAGAGGCTTTTGTGCTCCCTGTCCCTTGTACCCAGCCAACCCCCACCTTCTGTATGAGTCTGAGGCCAGCCTCTGCTTTCTGCCTCCTCATGAAAGCCAACACTGTTCAGCTGCCCAACCTCACCACAGCTGTGCCCGGCCAGCAGAGGGGAGACAGGACCGATGGCCCCAAGCTGTGGGACAAAGCCAGTCCTAATACACCCAGCCCTAGCCCCAGGAAGACTGAGCTGGGCACAGAAGGGTAAGAGAGACTGCACACAGCTAGGATTAACATGATTTATTTCATTATCAGTCTTACAAGTTGCTGAGGTTGGGCAAAGCCAGGATAGTAACTTAAATCCAAAGCACTTTTGTTGCATGACAACCCGATTAGCAAGGCCCAGTTACTGAACTGAGGACAGTGGAGGGCACCCCAGGAACCACAGCACATGGACCAGTATTAGAAACCCCTTCCCAGAAGCAACTGATGGGACTTGGCCCTTACCATCCAGGGCTCTACTCCATTGGTTCTTGGTGCCCACCAGCCCCCGTTAGAGGAGGCCCAGAGGCCTCCAGAGGCACCATGGAGGCAGGATGGGCTGGGTGGACAGCAGGACTGGAGCTTCCTCACCACAGCAGAGCCACGCTACTGGAAAGGAGGGTCAGTCTGGCCCCTTCCTGGAGTTGAGGCCCCAGCTGGTGGGGATGTGGCAGCTGCTTAACTGTTCTGCTTTCTTCTCTAGTTATCAAACTGTTACCTAGTTATGGTGTGAAGGGGAGGGGGCAGGAACTTAGGACCAAAGGTGGGAGGTAGGCTCCTTTTTCTATCCTGGTAAATAGCCCCAGCCTTCCTGGGGCTAGACTGATTAAGAAATGGGATCACTCAGCCAGGTGCAGTGGCTCACATCTGTAATCCCAGCACTTGGGAGGCTGAGACTACTTGATCACGAGGTCAGTTCAAGACTAGCCTGGCCAAGATGGTGAAACTCCGTCTCCACTAAATACAAAAAATTAGCCGGGTGTAGTGGCAGGTGCCTATAATCCCAGCTACTCAGGAGGCTGAGGCAGGAGAATCGCTTAAACCTGGGAGGCAGAGGTTTCAGTGAGCCGAGATCACACCACTGCATTCTCACTCCAGCCTGGGGGACACAGCAAGACTCAGTGTCAAAAAAAAGAAAAAAGATGGGACCACTCAGGAGGATCACTTGAGCCCAGGAGTTTGAGGCTGCAGTCAGCCATGATTGCACCACTGCACTCCAGCTTGGGCGACACAGCAGGACCCTGTCTCTAAAAACAAAGAATAAAGAGAAGGAGATGGAATCAAAGCCCAGAGGTCCTCCCCTTCTCAAGGCCACCACTAGTTCTCTGTGAACATGGAAAACTACCCCAGACCCCCTGCCTCTGGTCAGTGAGTTTTGTAGGGCTCAGGTGTCTCCCCACTCGTCTGGCTCTAGGCTGGGGCTGAGCTAACCAGAACCTGGAAGTAGGGCTTGGGGTCCTGGCTGTGGCCCCATGCCTAGCTTGGCCCAGCCTCGTTAGGTTTGGTCCAGGTTCCCCCAGCATTAAAGGGAAAGAGGGCAGGACAGGAAGGGAGGGTCAGTTATTTTACAAGTTTTTAAAAAGTTATAGGTAGGTTAACTTTGAGTAAAAAAGTCACAAAACAAGGATCAAGCAGGACACATTTCCCTCTCCTCCCCTCCCCTTCTAAAGAGCGAGGGGCATACATGGTGGAAAGAACACTCATATGATGATGCAGGACTGCAAGGCACCCCCCTTCCGGCTGCCTTGTGTGGGCACGGGTTTGCCTTTCCCGTAGTATCCCGTGAAGATGGCCCTGACCTCCATGTTCTTGGCCAGGTTCAACATCCAGCGCCCCTTGCCCAAGGAGTAGAGCTTGCCCCGGCTTAGCTCACCCACCTCCTCGCCTCGGCTGCCTCCCTTCTCCTCCCGTACAATCTCTAGGAGGTCAAGGCCCGTCTGCACAGCATCCACGTCAGCCGCACAGCCGAGGGTGATGTGAGCGCGGCTTCCCCGCGGCAGGTTGTCAGTGGGCAACAGCTTGTCCACATCATTCGGCCACAACTGCAGCTGCTGCTCACTCAACTCCACCCGGGCCCCAGTCGTCTTGGGTGTCACAAAGAGGGCAGAGATGGTCAGTGTGAAGGCCTTGCAGTAAGATTTCTTTAACACCTGGGGAGAGGGAGAAAGAGGGCCCAAGCTAAATATGGTGGCCTCTTGAATCGGTGACCCAAGGAGGGTCCCTCCTGGAGGAGAAGGGGGTCTAACATAAGTGAGCACAGCTGAGCAGGGGTCGGGTATAGGCCCAGCATGCACAAACACCACGCACCTTCCACGGGCACGGCTCAGGCTCAAGTGAGAAATGCCAAGGCACTCAGACAAGGCTGCGCAGGGAGAGCTGGACTTTCCCAGGGAGCCCAGCTCCCTGCACACTTGCTTCCGGCCTCAGCAGGCTGGCTGACCTCTTTGTGCCTTGGCTTCGTCACTCATAAAACAGGGAGAACTAGAGCCTACCTCAGAGTTAATGTGGTTATGGGAGTCACTATGTGAAGAGCCTACAAGGGTGTGTACACACGCAGCTGCTGTCACTGTTGGCACCACTCAGCTTCCCCTGGGACTCAGGCAGCGCCCTGGAGTGCAAGGTGAGGTCAGGCTTGCCCTTGATCAGAACCTGCTCTCACACTTTGGTTCACATCTGATGATGTCTGATTCTTTGAGAAAGCCCATCCCATCTCAGCATAAAAGCTTCTCTATTTTTGCCCACAATCGCTTGTCCCAACAGTGTCTGGCATGAAATGGGTGCTTAATAAATCAATGCTAAATGAAGGCATGGTTAGGGATGGTAGCAGCAGGTGTTACATATTCATACCCTATGCTAGGGTGCTGGAATCAACGAAACTTAAAACACTTGCCCTAGGGGAGCAAATAAACAACTGTGATAACCTAGGCAGAGAAGTGGGAGGGTGGGCTTGGGGTTGGACACTTGGAGGAGGTTGGAGACTGCAGATCTGAGACATGCCTGACATTCAAGGATCACTGTCGCCTGTAGCTGTGGGCGTAAGGTGCCGGCTGTGTGGTGCAGAAACGCCTGGTACCCTATTAGCCAATAAATTCACTCTCCTATGACACTCCCTCACTCTAAGGCTGGACCTCAGGCCTGGGGACAAGGACAGGGACCTCAGTGCACCAGGCTCCCTAGGGGGAAGGGACTCCTAGCCTTTGGAAGGTAACACAGGCTCAGAGAGGCCAGAGCAGGAGCCCACTGTGGCCCAGCATTCTCCATACATCTGCAGAAGGAGAAGGTGCCTGAGGGCAGGCGAATGCACAGGCTGGTGGTACTGTCACAGCAGGCTCCTTAGAACCCGAGGCTGAGGTCTATGCAAATACACCTGGGGACAGGGGAGCTAGGAGATGCCATTTTTCTCGAGCTGACATCTGGTTTTTGGTCCCTGCCTGGCACCAGTACCCATCTCCAGAAAACACTGCAGTTCCTTGCCGTCCCCACCTGCCACCTCTGCCATGTTGACCCTGGGGAAGACTCACATCTTGTTGAGCGTACTCCTCTGCCCCGGGGGCCTTCCCGTAGTCACAAAACTTGGTTGTGCAGTGCAGCACGCCTGGGGGTCTCTTTCCAAAGTAGGTGACCAGATCAATCTTCTCTCTGGTCTCATCCCCAGAGAAAACTGCCGGGAGAAAGAGGGTGCAGTCAGGGCAGGGGAGTAGAGGCATATCAACGCCTGCCACCAGGACCACAGAAGCCCAGAGCAAAACACTTCCGGCAACCCACAGAGCTCATTCATTCGTCAGTTCAAACTAAAGGCAACTTTAGAGCTGTAAGAAGTTAAAATTCTTAGGCCGGGCGCGGTAGCTTACGCCTATAAATTCCAGCACTTTGGGAGGCCAAGGCGGGTGGATCACGAGGTCAGGAGTTCAAGACCAGCCTGAACAAGATGGTGAAACCCCCTCTCTACTAAAAATACAAAAAAAGTTAGCTGGGCATGATAGCAGGTGCCTGTAATCCCAG